ACCGCGGGTTCCCGTTGGGCTCGCTCTTGGTTTATTCGGATTTGATTGTAGGGAGGGAGGAGAGCTGTTCTGAAGCATTTATAGTCCACTTATTGCTGGCCACATTCTAATTTTGGTAGACTGCGAGGACTCGAGAGAAGATCCTGCTTTTGAAATTGGTTTCGTATTTTTTTGAGAATTATTGCTGTACTTTCATTCTTCAACTTGAACGTTGCTTACAAATGGCTTACTTCAATGCTATTAACGTTGGCTCCCGGTCTCAAAGATTTGACTAGCTAATCCAAACAACTGTTTTATTTTCTGCGGTGACATTTCATTGTACCGTTCAGGAAGGAACTGAATAGAATTATTTAGGGAGCTAATTGTTTTGTTGCTACGTTTTGAGTTTCGAAAAGACTTCTGGAGGCGAAAATGGGTTGAATTTTTGAGAAATAGCTAGTCAGTTCGCAAGAGCAACTTCAGAAAATATTTCGGGGGAGGGAAAATAAATTTTTGTGCATCCTTTGCCATAGATAGGTTTGAAATAAAATAATTGATTGAAATAACAAATGTAATATTGATAATGAGAATATGCTTAAACGATGGGATCAGGGTGACTATTCTTGTGAATAAAAAGGTGTTTTTTTATGTTGGCTTGAGGGGGCATAGGGGACTATCCTACTCCGTACCCCCGTCTCCTCGTGAATTCGGCCATGCCGTTTTGATGTGTCATGCGTACAGTAAACATTATATATAATTCAATTACACAAGCATTTTTGCCTACTCTAAAACGGTATTTCCTTTGAAATTTTTGACTGAAGATCGTGTTACCTTTACACTGTAATTCGGTGTTCGCTGGCGAAGGAGACGAGTGAAAATGAATGCTCGGTGAGAGAGAGCGCACGGGATTTGCTGAGCGTGGGCGGGGGGGCGGGCGCGCGTCTCGGAATGGCGGGCGGTGCGTTTAACCTGGGTGAATGGGCGGGACGCTCTACCACCCACCCACCATCTACCCACCCATCCTCATCACTCGCCCGCCTGCCGGCCGCCCCGCTGGATGGGAGCAGATACTGGGCGATTGCGGCGTTGCAGAGGGTTCGTGTGCTCGAGTGGCCCGCTGCGGGTCTGCCCTGCTTCGGGCGACCCGGACTCGACCAAGCTGGGTCCCGTCTCCGTCCCGTCCCCGTCCCGTTCCCGTCTCCGTCCGTCCCGTCCCGTCCCTCCCGTCCTCCGTCCCCGTCTCTCCGTCCCGTCTCGTCCGTCTCCGTCTCCGTCCCCGTCTCGTCCCGTCTCCGTCCGTCTCGTCCGTCTCCGTCCGCCCGTCTCCCGTCCGTCTCCGTCCGTCTCCGTCCCCGTCTCCGTCCGTCTCCGGTCTCCGTCCCCGTCTCCGTCTCCGTCGTCCGCCCGTCTCCGTCCCGTCCGTCCGTCCGTCCCGTCTCTCGTCTCCGTCCCGTCTCCGTCCCCGTCTCCGTCCCGTCTCGTCCGTCTCGTCGTCTCGTCCCCGTCTCCGCTCCCGTCTCCGTCCCGTCCGTCCTCCGTCCCCGTCTCCGTCCCCGTCCGTCGTCTCCGTCTCCGTCCGTCCCGTCCCGTCCGCCCGTCTCTCGCGTCTCCGTCCGTCCCGTCCGTCCTCTCGTCCCTCCGGTCCTCCGTCTCCGTCGCGTCTCCTCCCGTCTCCGTCCCAGTCTCCGTCCCGTCTCCGTCCCTCTCCGTTCCCCGTCTCGGATCCCTTCTCCGATCCTCCGTTCCGCCCGTCTCCGTCCCGTCTCGCCCGTCTCGTCCCCGTTCCGTCCCGTTCTCCGTCCCGTCTCCGTCCGGTCTCGTCCGTCTCCGTCCCGTCTCCGTCCCGTCTCGTCGTCTCGCTCCCGTTCCGTCCCGTCTCCGTCCCGGCTCTCGTCCGTCCTCCGTCCCGTCTCGTCCCGTCATCGTCCGTCTCCGTCCCGTCCGTCCGCGTCTCCGTGCCCGTCCTCCGGTCCGCCGTCTCCGTCCCCGTCTCCGTCCCCGTCTCCGTCCCCGTCTCCGTCTCCGTCCCCGTCTCCGTCCCCGTCTCCGTCCCCGGCTCCGTCCCCGTCCCCGTCCCCGTCTCCGTCTCCGTCTCCGTCTCCGTCCCCGTCCCCGTTCCGGCCGGCGCCACCTACGCGAAGGGCGACAGCCCTTGGCAGCTGGACCGTCGAACCCGCCGGGACGGTGACGTTGGTAGTGGGTGCCTGCCTCCTCCCTTCCCCTTAGGGTATCCACAGCCTCTCGGGGAGGGTGCGCGGGGGAAAATGGACCGTAGGTCGGGAAGGCTTACTGAGACCCCGCGGGGCGGGGATTGTTGGGGCAGTGGAACTCGTGGAGCTTCGGGACGGATTGAACGGCTGCTCTGTAAACAAGTGCGTGTTCGCTCAAGATGACAAAGATCCAGAAAGTTTCTCGTTGTGGGCATATGAACTCGTGTTGTGTTCGCAGTAGTTCTAATATATAATCCCCCCTCCCCCTCCCCGAAGATGTTAAAAATGTTGCACTGCGATTCCACAATTTTTGCCTTCAGCTGTTGGTTTATTGACTTTTTTATTGTTCTGTGGACCCCCCCCTCGATTCTTTCTTCCTTATAAAATGATAAAGAAGAGTTATCTTATAATATAAGGCCAGACTTTATTACGAAAAAAATCCCGTTTCATCACTATAAATTCGTCGAATGTAGTTAGTAGTTAGATATATTTGATTTGCTTAGGGCATAACACTCGGTGGTAGATTTCTAAAATACTAGTAACCAAACGCACATTACACAATAAAACAGAAAAAAAAATCTGTAAGCCTAACTACCTACCAAATTTTCTGTTCCGCAAGAATTCTTATTGCTCATATCTGTACTGGTTTCAGTCTTGTTTGGTGAGCCCTCAGAATTTCATTCTAGTTTTCTTTTATTTTCAGATTACAAGGAAGATGTACATTACAATTGTAAAATTTAATTTCATGATTTACATTATTCCCTTCATTTCGATTTTAGATTGTGATTATTAACATTTTTTATTACGTTAGAATTATTTTGTATCCAGAGTATTTGGCATAAAGAAAATTAACTATCCTAAAAATTGTTAGTATATGTAATATTTTGTGATGCGTTGACATATTGCTTAGCTGTTATGTTATTTGTATCTTATGGATAATGTTTGATTAACTTAATGAATTACTTTTACCGTTCTGTATAACTACTCAAAAGTTACTGTAATAAATTATTAACATTATTTCTTAGGCGCTTAAACAAATTTGTGAACAAAAACAGTTTTATTCCTTCCCTTCGTACAATTTTTTAACAAATATTCTCGATCCCCTCAATGTGTTCAGACACTAGGTACAACATTTTTTGTTTAAAATTAACAGAATGTTCTGCTTTGTTCAAAAATGTTCTGCTTTGCGATTACTTAAGTGTTCTACATCTTTGGGGCTTTTTGTCGGTAAATTGAGTTTTTGAGACTTTCCTAGTCTGTTTGACCAAAATAAAGTGAAATGAAATGTTTCCGTAGTGTACATGGTATTTTCAAACATCTCCCATGTCCACCCAATTGAACAATTCCGTAAACAAATAACCTCAAATATTCTTGAATATACGGTTATTTTTTCAGAATGTTAAATGTTCATAAAAACGAAAAAAATTGGAAATGAGAATGAATGATTCGTTAAATTATTTTTTCAGTTCCGAAAAAAAAATGAATCGAACTTGTTGTTTTTCGTATAACTTATTTCGTAATAACTTATTTTAATTTTGCAAGAATTTAATTAACTACAATAAAAATGTGTATTTAACTTTAAAAAAAATAGCGGTATCTTTGAAACGCAGGCCATAGTGTTATATGGAAGACCTTATGAGGCGACAAATTCTCGTGAAGCAGCAACGCGGCTGAGTTCAGATTCCAGGCGACAGATGGCAGCATCTGATAATATGTGGTTGTGTGCGGCAAAATCCAGGTTGCAAAGCCTCGTGCGAGGCGTAGTATCGAGACACGGCCGTTTGAGATGTAGTTAGCGATCGGGGCTGTGCGCGCGGGTTCGGGCGCGGTGGGGTCGCCGCGGGGCGGGGCGGGGCGGGCGAGTGGTAGTGGGGGCGTTCCGTTGGAGGGAATGCGTCCGGGTGCGCGAGGAGGGAGAATGCTGCATGGCGACGGCGATTGGCTGCGATGGGGGTGCTGGGTAGGGGGCAGCGGTCTGGTCGTGAGGGCGTAGTTCGCTGCTATCTCTTGTAGGGCTCAGTTGCGATGAACTTAAAGAATTCGTCTCTCGCGTGGCGAGCGTCGGCTGTGCAGCATTATGAGTTCAGTGATCGTGGCATTTTTAAATAAGGACTTGTTGTAAAGGTCTTTTGTGTATCACGTTTGTAGTACGTCTGTTAGAGCATATCAACCGCAACACGTAGTGGCATCCTGTTAGTCTCCGCTTGTGCTAATTCGACGTGTATTGAGCCTGCGATGCTCCATTGTTCTCGCTCCCAGCAAGATCGGTGCAGCCGGTTCCGTTCTCCAGACCCGGAGGTTTTCGGATACGTTTTAGCATGCCAGAAGTGTCGTACGTGTGTGAATGGTCGTGTAGTGATACGAAGTATTGGTGAAACGCCAGTAATGCAAGTGCGCATATGCTATTACTGCGCAACTTGTGACGTCATGCGTAGTGACTTTTCCGGTTGTGTCTCGCGTCCCTCATTTCCCCACGTGCCGCTGTGTATAGTATACGCTGAAATTTGATTTCTTAAATCTTTTTTTTTTTTTTTTTACATCTAGAACACATTTTTCGAAAAATTACCGTTTGAATTGTTTTCTTGCATTCTTTTCGATTTATCAACTATGCCAGTAAAATTAATGTATTTTTAAAAACATTTCCATTATATTTTTTTGGAATTTCATAGGCATAATGCAGTTAATTATTGTAAAATGTAACTTCACGTAGATTATTTTTCTAGTACATTTGTAATTTTGGAAAGTGTCAGATATTCATAAATTATTTTTCATTATTTTTTCCTCCACATTACATCCACTTTTGATTTCCAGCACCAGTGCATCAAAAGACGTAAAAAGCTTTAAAGTCTATCGGATTGCCTTTCATCCTGTGTGCATCTTCGTGTGCAAGTGAAGTTGTGCAAAATCAACAAAGACAACTTGATAGTTTATGTTCGTGAGTGTGTGAACTGTTCCATGGATATACCAGCCGGAGAAGGCTTGGAGACAGACATGACCGTATCACCGGAAACGGAGAATAGCGAGGAAGCACAGCAAGAAGTAGCAAGGTAAGAGGATTGGGAAGTGGGCGAACAAACGAGGGCGCGCGGCGAGCAGCAGCCCGGCTCCCTGCCGCCGCCGCCGCGGCGCCTCTTCGCCTCTTGTCGCGGGGGCTTTGTAGTTTTAGGCCTAAATTTAACGCCGGTCACCCCCCCCGTGCCTGGCGTTCCCCGAGATGACCGCTTTCGCGCTCTCCGATCCAGTGACGGAGTAGTGTTGTCGCGTACGCGAGACGGAGTAGTGTTGTCCCGCAGGCCGCGGCCGCGGAGGTGTTTTTGTTTTTCTCACACATCCGCTTTGTGCGCGAGCTCCCGCCTGGCGCCGGCTTTGTGCGCGCCATGCAGCCAAGGTCGCTCCACGCCTCCGCGGAGACTCAGCCGGAGCAAAAAGGCGCCCGGCTGGAGCGGCGCCACGCCACGCCACGCCAAGCGACGCCGCGTAAGGGAGGCGCCCCTGCACCCCGTCGGGGAAGCGAGCCTGCCCGAGGCCTGAATGGCGACCGCGAGCTGGGCGGGGGGCGTTCTTCCTCCTCGCATCGATACATCAGCGTCTTCCGTGAACCGGTTTGCATTCGACAGGGTAAGACAGGTGCCGTATGTTAAATACCCCCGTCGTTGTTAGGGGTGAGTTGACGGGGACTAGTTGCCCGGTGCGGGGGTGCTGTTGCGAGGAAAAGATAATACGGTAATTGTTTAGGGGGGGGAGAAAGCTTATTATGCTTGACGTGCAATAGAACTAAAATTTCTGTTGCACTGCTCTGCATTGCATTGCATTGCATTGCATTGCATTGCATTGCTGGCATATGTCATGAAGTGCACTCGTTCTATAGCAAAAGAAAGAAAACATAAAATGATTTGTTCTTATTAAATGTTTTTGCCCTCAAAATAAATCATGTTTGGTCTGATCCCTGAAAAAAAATCCCCGACCAACTCCATCAAGCTCATATGCAGTAAAGTAGCATCTTGCTTACCCACGGATTAGTTTTTCATCAATGAACTGCTGGATTAGAAGCAAAAAAAAACTGATAGTGATGTACAGTGACATCAGCTCTATAACGGAATATTTTAACATGAGGTTTTTTAGTATACGTCGTAATCAACATGGTTTTATTTTCTATCTTTCGTTTCGTGGCTAGAAATAACTTACCTTTCCCTGGTACTGAAATCTGTTGTCTTCAGTCATTTGCAGAAGTAGTGGGTGGTCTTTGCGTTGAAGAACGCTGCCGGTTGTACGGTTTTCCGATGCGCAAAACCCGCCAGAAACATACGCGCCGGAAATGAAAGATGTTCTCGGAAACTGCACGCTGTCATCGGGATAGGTTTTCATCTTCACCGGTGATTCAATACGGTGTGTCATGCTGCGGTGGAAGGCCATGCGAAGAGGCACCGAATCGACCTGAATGTTTCATGACAAAAATAAGAATGTTAAAATCGTTCATTTAGCGAAGAATGTGGTATGCAACACACAAACTTTGACAGCTAAATAACTTATTGAAATTTGTTTTGCAAGAAAACGAAATAAGTTTTTGTGGTTTCATTTCCAAAATAGTTTATTTTCAAGATAACGGTTTTCATTGAGAGTGCCTCTGTAAATATTCCAGCTTTTTCATCCTCAGTACATGTACATGTACAATTTCATTTTAGGTAAGCACTAACTTATGTCTTTTAAATATTTTAATTTTTGATCGTTCGCGACATTAGTATGTTCCTTTTCTGTGCAATAACATTAGTCGTCTTCCAGCTTTTAACATACTTATTTGAGTTCAGACACACAACGTTTTCAAAATGGTAACTTCTTTCGTGAGGGAGTCGCCATATGCGTCCCATGTAATCCATTTTTTTTCTTCATAACGTTCCATATCGCACATACGCGTGTTATAAAGTCCAGTGTTGGACGTTCTCACGTGTATTAATCAATCTACAGCTGAAACCATTGCAAAATAATGTTTCCAAATAATTTAGAATATTAATTGCGATTTTATTGTAAATTTTACGCATTTCTATATATGAGTCTTTGCTCTTATTTTGGTGCAATTCTCTGTGAACCTGTAATCATATCTGCACGTTTGGACACCATGTGGACAATGTATCTTGACTTTCTTGCCAAATAATGGTTTGATATGAAGCAGGAAGTGTTGAACTCTGACTCCAGGATCAGGAGGTATTTTAAATTACCTCAAGAAAGCGAGACATCAATACTTTTTAATCGATTATTTTATTGATGGCGAAAGCGTTTCTTCGACGATGAGGAATCCCATCGCATTTTTGAGGAGGCGAGCTCTCTGAACGTGATACACGATACAGCTCTGTCCGTTGCTGGCTACTGCACTAGTGCGAACATTCTCTTCGAGGCTTCATACGAGACTAGTTCAATTTACACTACCATTTCGGGGAGACAGTATCACAAGTGAATCTAGTTGGTTATACTGTCGAAATAATAATTTTAATAATTTGTGTCCCAATCATTTTTATTTTTGAAATTGTGATGACGGTTTATATATGCAAAAAACACACATACACAAGAAAACAAATCTTGAGTCTGGTCATGCAATTGTGATTTTTAAGTTTGGTTGTAAATTGCTGTGAATTCCAGTGTTTACTATTAAACATTTGAATCATCTTAATTTCATTCACTTTTTGCTTAATTCTTTAATATTTTGATATCTTTTACATTATATTTGCAGTCTTGTTTTATCCAGAATGTGGGCCTTTATATTGTGACGCAATCTATTTCTTTTTCTTTTTTTTCTAGAAGGGGAGGATAGGTTTAATGTTCACCTGACTTCATCTTCTGATATGCGTTTTTATTTATGCTGAATATATAAATAAAAAAACAAAATTAATTTTGATATGTTAAATTGAGTCAATGAACGACATTCTTTTTTTAGAATATTATCAGAAATATTTGTGAATGCCCGAGTAGGCTTTAAGACGGGGACTTAAACTCCCTGGACTGCCACAAAGAATGCTGACGCTGTAAATCAAAGCGGACTGAATAGATATCAATATTTTGAGATGTCAGGAAAATGTTAAGTTATTTCGCAATGGAGCTTGGACTGGGTTTCTGAAAATGAGTGTGTGGAAATCTTTGGTTAAAAGCTCTTGGAGCTCGAAATGCTTCAGTGTTTTAGAAATATTGAAAATGTGTTTCTAATTTATGAATTGTGTAGAAATGACGGAATAAAAACAATACAAGATTTTGTTTCCAGAAATTGTTAAATTGCATGTTGTGTTAGTTTGCCACCCAACCATTGTCGTTAGTTTGGCCTAGGTGAATTCATTTCGTGGCATAATGCTGCTTTGCACTCCAAAGCTGTGTTGGTATTTCCCTTCGTAGGAGAGGTACTCCTGCACGTGCTCGTTTGTGGAGCATATTTCATTGCGCTTTAGGTAAACCGCAATTCCAAAAATATATCAAACAGTCCTTTTTCCATTGGATAATTGTTTTAGATCGATTAATGCCGACGTATCGGTCACATGTTAGACTTTCTTCATGGCTAAGCAGAACAAACCTCTGAAGCCCATATGAATAGCACATAAAATGTGTATTACTCATTATTTGCAACATACAATTTATTTGCTACCTGTGCGTACTGACGTACACCAACAACTACAATCGGTGCTCAAACGTAGCATCAACAAAACCATCTCCAAAATAACTCATTCTGCAAAAAGTCTCCCTCTTCATGTTGTATCGGTGTGGGCTGTGAGATTTTTCCTAATAGTAAACATGGTTGGTGTTCTAGGCAATACATTTTGTTAACTGCCATATATAGTCTTTATTTCTGTAGATTGTTACCCCAACGAAGAGAAATGAGACTAAAACAATGTCCAAGATAGTAGCGCTTAAGGGCCGCACTGAATTTCCATGATTATTTTCGGCTGTTGTAGTATCTGAGAGTTTATATTGGGGAACGCAGTAGTTTGCACAAATTATCGGTGTTGCAGTCATTTTGGAACATTCCTTCATGATATTATTTTTTACGAATGTCAGTAAATCTCGAAGACTACGGCTCATTGCAGTATTTGAATGCTACAGTTACATTTGGTCGTTGCCTACGTATTATGTATGTTGTTGAAGTTTGTGCTGAATATACGCTGTGTGTTAAATATATAAATATATATAATATATATTATATATATATATATATATATAACAAACTGTAATATAACTGTATAAAACAAACCAGCCAACATGTCTTAAAAGTTCCCGATAGACCTGATGGGATGAAGGTTTTCACCGATACCTTTTTTCTTTTATGTTTTCTTACATCAATTGAACACAATTATTTAATGTATTCCAGATGCTCAATGATTGTTCGGCGTATTCGCTTTTCAAAACTTGTTTCAATGAAATTCAATAGAAGGAATTGAATTTTTAGCTGGAATGTATGAATAAAATGTTCGCCAACTCTAATATTTCGGATAACATAAAGAATAATCGTAACTACCAACATAATACTCATCTATTTTTCTTTTAATAATTTATACTTCAGTTTTTTAGCGATTATGTAGTGCACATTACACATACTATATAAAATATTTTATTTAAAAACACAAACCAAAATCAACTTCAACCAAAATCACTTGGTTCAGGTAGTTCAATTCTTGTATTATGTTTAAACGAATGTAGCCTACTCTTCTCAACCATTCGATATTGTTACAGCCAGCACAAACACAAAGAGCTATAATGGAATGCCTCAATCGAGCGTGTCTGTATAAACAATCAAGGGTGGGGAAGATATTCTAGAGCTCGAAAAAAAGTGCCCAGATTGTAATTTTCCTGTATATATCACATAGTATTATTTTTTTCTCATTATGTATTCACAGAATACAATTTTTTTTAACAAAAACAAACGAAAAACTCAAATCAAGTTAAACCAAACTAATATGCGCGTACATTTTATCAGCTCTTCGCGAAAAATAGCTATGCACACAATAATTATGTATTTTATACAGCTTTGGGATGATGGATTGAATGAAGCAATTTAGATATTGTTATACGATACACGAAATAATTAATATCTGTATCTATGTAAAGTAGTCTTCGGGAAAAGGAAGGAATTTTCGCAAATACTTGGAAAATCTTTTGTTAACGAATTTTTCTTTTTCGTTGACGTCCAAATATTTTGATACTTCGCCCTCGCTTTTGATGTAATTAGACCCTTTCGAAACTTGAACCGGAGGCGAGAAGTTATATATATATATATATATATATATATATATATATATATATATATATATATATATATATATATATATGTTAGTTTACAAATATGAGAAATACAGTGATATGAGCAATATAGGCTCAACGGCCCAGTTTCAAAAGGCAACAACTCATAATGTAAAATTTTGAAATATTGCCATATTGCTATGAGAAGGTTGGTTTTCTTCACTTGAGTTTAGTTTATGGCATAACAGTACAAAATTAATATTTCAAATTCAAGTCTTGTAGAAATAACTTCCTTTCAGTATTTTGAATTGCCAGGCTTG